CCCTCAGTTCTGATACTAGTCTGGTGACAAACATTTGAACCTTTCCGAGTTTAGTCTTATGCTTGACTAGATATGGACTCCATGCTGGAGCTGCATACTACAGGATTGGTCTGACATATGTATTATGCAAAGTTCTAAATGATTCCTTACACAAGTTTCTTCCATTTCTTACACGACCGTTCTATGTTAACCCACCTGGCATATGCCGCTGATCTTATCCGCTTGATATGGGCTTCAGGGAACAGGTCTGGCGTGATATCAACCCCCAGGTCTCTTTCTTTCTGTGATTCTTGAAGAATTTTATCTCCCAAATTATACCTTGTATCTGGCCTCCTGCTCCCTACACCTATCTTCATTACATTACATTTGCTTGGGTTAAACTCTAGCAATCTTTTGTTGGACCATTCATTCAGTTTGTCCAGTTCTTCTTGAAGCCTCAAGGTGTCTTCCTTTGTCTTAATCCTTCTCATAATTTTGACATCACCAGCAAACATCGAGAGGAATAAGTCTATACCCTCTTGGAGATCATTTACGTATATCAGAAACAGGATAGGACCGAGTACAGAGCCCTGTGGGACTCCACTGATGATTTCACGCCAATCTGGGGTCTCACCCCTCACTGTAACTCTCTGCTTCCTATTGCTTGGGTACTCCCTTATCCACAGGAGCATCCTATCAGTTACTCTTGCCAGTTTCTCCAACTTATGTACCAGCCTCTTAAGGAATATTGTGTCAAAGGCTTTCCGACAGTCAAAGAAAATGCAGTCCGCCCATACTTCTCTTTCTTGCTTAATCTTTGTCACCGGATCGTAGAAGTCAATTAAGCCAGTAAGGCAAGAGTTATCCTCTCTGAACCCGTGTTGGTGGTTTGTCACCAAGTCCCTTCTCTCCAGATGTGTTACCAGGTTTTTTCTCACAATCTTCTCCATCACCTTGCATGGTATACAATTTAAGGACACTGGCCTGTAGTTCAGTGCCTCTTGCCTGTCGCCCTTTTTGTATATTGGGACCACATTCGCCTTTTTCCATATTTCTGGTAGGTCTCTAATCTCCAGTGACCTACTATACACTATGGAGAGTGACAAGCAAAGTGCCTCTTCGCTCACACACTCATTCTTTACACACTCTTTCAATATCCATGGTGAGATACCGTCTGGAGCCAACAGCCTTTTTCACCTGAAGAGGAAGACCTTCTGGAATATCTTGTTGAGTTCTTCACACACCTCACTGTCATTCTCTGTGTACTTGTCCACACCCGTTCTAAGTTTCATTGCTCGTTCTTTCACTGTTGGTTTCCTCCTGATGTGAGTGTGGAGCGGCTTTGGTTCGGTCTTGGCTTTATTTGCTTCATCATTTTCATACTTTTTCTCTGCTCCTTTTCTCACACTAACATACTCATTCCTGGGTCTCTGGTATTTCTCTCTGCTTTCTGGTGTTCTGTTATTTCGGAAGTTCCTCCACGTCCTTTTGTTCAGTTCCATTGCTTCTGTACATTCCCTATTAAACCACGGATTCTTGTTTTGCTTCTCGGTTTTTTCCTTTTGGGACGAGATAAACCTGTTTACTGCCTTCTGACACTTTTGGGGGACATTATCCATCATGTCTTGTACAAACCTAGTTCTGAGTTCTGTGTCCCATGGTATATTCCTTAGGAATTTTCTCATCTCTTCATAATTTCTCTTTCGGTATGCCAGCCCCTTGTTTCTTAATTCTTTTTTTTGGGGGAGATAAATCCTAGCTCTAGCAGGTACTCAAAGACCAGCACACTATGATCGCTCATTCCCAAGGGGGGCGTCCAACTTGACTTCCCTTATATCCGATTCATTTAGAATAAATATCCAATCAAACATGGGTGGTTCATCTCTCATTCTGGTTGGTCCTTTGATGTGTTGGCTTAAAAGTTTCTTGTTGCCACGTCCAGAAGCTTAGCTCTACACGTGTCTGGTCCTCCATTTGAGTCTCTGTTCTCCCAATCTATCTTCCAGTAGTTGAAGTCTCTCATGATTAGTACTCTAGATCCATTCTTGCTAACTACAGAAGCTGTTTGCTCTATTAAATTTATAGTTGTTTTTAATGGTATATTAATGTTGTTTCTATCATATTCCTGTCTGGGTCTTCTGTCATTTGGGGGGGGCGGGTATATATGACTACTACTATCTTGAAGTCTCTCATGATTAGTAGTCTGGATCCGTTCTTGCTAGCTACAGAAGCTGTCCTTACCATGCCATTCTGTCCTACTGGAGCCTTCCTGCTTTTTAATGCCCACTGCCACCACTGATCTTTTTCTTTCCAGCAGCTGACTAGTGCATCTTGCTGCTTCCTGTGAGGTAGCTGCTTTCATGGATACTTCCTTCACTGGGGATATTGCTTCTGAGCTCTTTCTCAGCATTTCTGCAAATGTTGCATGTACAGTGGCATTCCCTTCTAATGAAACATACTCATTCCTGGTTCTCTGGTATTTCTCTCTACTTTCTGGTGTTCTGTTATTTCGAAAGTTCCTCCACGCCCTTTTGTTCAGTTCCTTTGCTTCTGTACATTCCCTATTAAACCACGGATTCTTCTTTTGCTTCTCCGTTTTTTCCTTTTGGGACGAGATAAACCTGTTTACTGCCTTCTAACACTTTTGGGGGACATTATCCATAATGTCTTGTATGAACCTAGTTCTGAGTTCTGTGTCCCATGGTATATTCCTTAGGAATTTTCTCATCTCTTCATAATTTCTCTTTCGGTACGCCAGCCCCTTGTTTCTTAATTCTTTTTTGGGGGGAGATAAATCCTAGCTCTAGCAGGTACTCAAAGACCAGCACACTATGATCGCTCATTCCCAAGGGGGGGGCCATGTTGTTTCTGTCATACTCTTGCCTGGGTCTTCTGTCATTTGGTAGAGGGTTATATATCACCGCTACATCTACTCTAGGTCCTCCCATCGTCATGGTGCCTGTTATGTAGTGTCTAAACCCTTCACAGCCTGGGATAACCATCTCCTTGAATCTCCATTCCTTTCTCATGAGTAGGCCACTCTGCCTCCTCCCTTACCCTCCCTCCCTTTCCTTATTACAGTGTAATCCTGGGGGAACATCGTATTTGTTATGATTCCTGAGAGTTTTGGTTTCGTGATTCCAATTACATCTGGGTTTACTTCTTGTATTCTTTCCCTAAATTCACTCGCCTTGCTTGTAATCCCATCTATGTTCATGTACATCACCTTGAAGCTGACTCTTTTCTGTCCGTCCACAGTTTCTGTTGATTCCACTGGAGTAGATAAACATGGAGGGTCTAGGATGGGGAAGGGGAAGGGGTAGCCCTGGGTCGTGATGGGAGCTGAGAGTGAGAGGGACCTGGGTTGTGGGGGGGGGGGGGCTGGGAGGATCTGATTTGGAGAGGGTAGGGGCAAAGTGAGGGCTTGGAGGGGGTAGGGGAGAAGGGAGGGTTTGGGGGTATGGGGAGAAGGGAGGGTTTGGTGGGATGGGGAGAAAAGGGGGTTTGGGGAAAAGGGGTAGGAGGGAGGGCTTGGGGGTGGGGGAGAAAGGAGGGCTTGAGGGGGGCGGGGGAGAAAGAAGAGCTTGAGGGAGAGGGAGAGGAAAGAGGGCTTGGGGGGGAGGGTAGAGAAGGGACAGCTTAGGTGAGTGGGGGAGGAGGGAGGGGAAAGAGGGGTGAGGGAGAAGGGAGGGCTTAGGGTGGTGAAGGAGTGTAGGGACTGAGGCAGGTACGGCTTCTATTGGTTGGGAGATGGGTGTGATCCTCCTCTCACTGGGGCTGTTGAATTGCCTGTGGAGGGTTCCCCACTCCCTTCTGGGATTGTAGGGTTCTGGGTTGTGGTTCCCTGATTCCTTTCCCCTCTCATTATGCTCTTTCCTTGCTGCTGCTGCCCTCTGTCTCTCCTACCTGGTCATATCCCTCTGCAGAAATACCTTTTTGAACTTCGGCACATTTAGTAGGCTGCTCTTCTTTGCTAAAATTTCCTCTTTTGAGTTCTCGCTTTTGAAAACTACTTTTATCAATCGATCTTTGTCCTTGTTGTACCGGTCAAGCCTGAAAACCTTTTCTATATTCAGTTATTTCCCCTCCATCGGTACTCCTTCAAGGATCTCTTTGACTGTGCTTTGTCCATATCTCTCCTCACCCTTGGAGTGGCCCCTATTTGCTCCTTAATACCCACTACGACTACTGCTCTTTTCCTTTCTATCAGTCGGCTAGTGCATCATGCTGCTTCCTGAGAAGTAGCAAATTTCATGACAATTTCCTGTACTGCAGAGCCAAGTTCCGGGGTCCTTCTAAGTATGTCTGCAAATGAGGGTTGTAATGTAGAAGTCCCTTCTATAGATACATTACCATCTTCCTGAGGGCTGGTTCATGGCTGATATTGGGGATTCTCTTTCAGGATTTTAATCTCCTCCCTTGCCACGATCAGTTCATCTTGCAGGTTGGCTACCTTTTCCCTCATTACCCATAGTTCCATTCTGATTTCACTCCACATTTGACAGAATGCCTCCTCAAGTGAGACATCCTGTCCTCCTCCATCTGTGTTACGTCTGCTCTCTGCCATGTTTGTTTCCAATTCCAGTTCTCCAATCCAATGTATTCACCTAGTTTTTTCACTTAGTTGTGTTTGCGGGGGTTGAGCTTTGCTCTTTCGGCCCACCTCTCAACTGTCAATCAACTGTTTACTACTTTTGTTCCCACACCACACACACCCCAGGAAGCAGCCCGTGACAGCTGACTAACTTCCAGGTACCTATTTACTGCTAGGTAACAGGGACATTCAGGGTGAAAGAAACTTGGCCCATTTGTTTCTGCCTGGTGCGGGAATCGAACACGCACCACAGAATTACGAGTCCTGCGTGCTATCCACCAGGCTACCAGGCCCCGTCCATGGTGTGTGAGTGTGTGTGTTGTGAGAGGTTGATGATGGTGTGTAAGTGTGCTGTGAGAGGTTAACACAAGTGTAGGTCTGCCTCAGAGCCCCACCTCACTACAATCTTGCTTTCTCCCAACCCCAGACAAGCTCAAGGCTGAGATGGCTATTCACGTCCACCTGGACACACTCAAGAGAGTGGAGATCTTCCAGAACACGGAGGCGGGCTTCTTGTGTGAACTGGTGCTACACCTCCGACCAGTTCTCTTCTCTCCCGGTGACTACATCTGCAGAAAAGGTACGTCATCCACTGAGGGTGTACCGGTGGAGGGCGGTGAGCCTCTTGTGTGAACTGCTGCTTCATTTACACCCACATCAATAAAGAAACAAACTGCCTTGGTTACAGCCAGTAGTTACCTTTAATTTCCATTATTTATTGATTAAGTATATATAGACAAAGAAGTGTAACTGTCGGTGTACATTGCATATATGTGAGGTACTCTCTTGTGATAGTAATCAATACATGCTGCCGGTTCTCCGCAGGTTCGATGAGAATGAACCACAACAATCCCTGAACACGTCGTAACCCTCACAGACCACACAATCTCCCTAAACTATAACTGTGACAAGAGCCCACCACCTCATATCTTTCCTCTAAACTGCATCAAACCTCTAAATTCATGCTCAGAACTGACATTTACTTTTGTACCTCGGACAATTTAATGAGCCTGTAGTGTCCATGTTTGGTCTCCTAGGTCTGGTACCTACGAGACGTCCCTGAAGCAGGCAGGCAGGATGTACACCTTAGAAACAGTTTCAACATGTCTCTATGCAGAAGAAAAATGTTCATCTATAACCACTTACGAATTATATGTTGGATTATATTTTAAAGTCTACTTTACAGAGGCCTCAATCCCACCACTGCCACCAGTGCTACATTCTGGATTGAGCTCTCCTTGTTAAAATGTCTGATATAAGTGTCCTTTTATTTCACAAGTGTTTATTGATTAGTGTTCTTAAATGTAGTCGGTGCAGGTACTTGTACGGAGCTCACCGGTGTTGTCACGACTCTGGCTTGCCTGACTTTAACTGAGGTGTGACTCAACTTTGAGAGTCACACTTACAACCACCACAAGCTATCACTGCCTTTACAACTTTCACAAGCCCCAAAACCCCCTTAAAATTTCAAAAGCATCAACCCTTAAAAATCAAAAGAACACAGAATTTTAAAATGCACAACAAAAACTTACAACCCCTAAAACTCACCACAAGCACATACTCCTTAAAAACTACCCAAGTCCTCAGTGGTGCAGTGGCAGGATACCCGCCCTGCACATCACCAATACTCTGATCTGGGTTTGAATCCTGGTCTGGGAGGTTTGTCTAGATGCCAATCCTTAACTGTTTGCCTCTGTTTACACAACAGTAACGGGGTATTTGGTTGTGAATTGATTGGAGGATCATGTTGTACAGAAAATAGTGAGTTATATATACCTGGAGCTGTGGTAAGTGAAATCTCTCAGCCTTCACAGGAGTCACAACCCGGCTGATCCTCCATGTTTACAACAATCCCACAAACCAGGTAACCCCAGAACTCTTAGAAACGAAAAATATTACAACCTTTACAACCGCCACAAGCCCACACAACCCTTAAAACCTTCACATAGTCACAGTGGTCCAAGTTTCCAGTGCTTCTTAATAGAAGCACTGAGAGAAGGGGAAGAGGGGAAAATGGGTATGAACGAGATGGAGGGAACCAAGGGAAAGGGAACGGTTGTCCTAGGGGGAGATGGGGTGAAGAAGGGGTGAGGAAGGGGAGGGAAGAGACCCGGATGTAGCCGGATACCCTCTTCTGAATATATATATTTAAATGAAACTGTTTGTCAGTTTGAGTTTGGAGGTTAGAGAGAGGGAGAAGAGGGGGATAAAAATATGAGGGACCGGAAGATGAGGGTAGTAATGGAGGCGTGAGAGACCGATTGTCCCGGACACCGCCGGGTATCCTTCTTACTATATATTAAACAAAAATTGAACAAATTCATGAAAAGTTTCAAGTGGAGTATAGAGAGGAATGTGTGGAGCAAGAGGACAAGAGTCCACAGTCGTCAGCAGCGTGTAGAGGGAAGGACGGACACGTGTAGAGGGAAGGACAGACACGTGTAGAGGGAAGGACTGACACGTGTAGAGGGAAGGACTGACACGTGTAGAGGGAAGGGCAGACACGTGTAGAGGGAAGGACTGACACGTGTAGAGGGAAGGGCAGACACGTGTAGAGGGAAGGACTGACACGTGTAGAGGGAAGGACAGACACGTGTAGAGGGAAGGACAGACACGTGTAGAGGGAAGGACAGACACGTGTAGAGGGAAAGACTGACACGTGTAGAGGGAAAGACACAACAGTTGTGTTGCCACAATCATCACCGCCAGATTTTTTCTTATTTACATAATTCACATTAATAGTCCGGCTTAAAATCCTAACCAGCCACAGGGCACTCATAACCCCCCTTAACCAGCCACAGGGCACTCATAACCCCCCTTAACCAGCCACAGGGGACTCATAACCCCCCTTAACCAGCCACAGGGCACTCATAACCCCCCTTAACCAGCCACAGGGCACTCATAACCCCCCTTAACCAGCCACAAGGCACTCATAACCCCCCTTAACCAGCCACAGGGGACTCATAACCCTCCTTAACCAGCTACAGGGGACTCATAACCCCCCTTAACCAGCCACAGGGGACTCATAACCCCCCTTAACCAGCCACAGGGGACTCATAACCCCCCTTAACCAGCCACAGCGGACTCATAACCCCCCATAACCAGCCACAGGGGACTCATAACCCCCCTTAACCAGCCACAGGGCACTCATAACCCCCCTTAACCAGCCACAGGGGACTCATAACCCCCCTTAACCAGCCACAGGGGACTCATAACCCCCCTTAACCAGCCACAAGGCACTCATAACCCCCCTTAACCAGCCACAGGGTACTCATAACCCTCCTTAACCAGCTACAGGGGACTCATAACCCCCCTTAACCAGCCACAGGGGACTCATAACCCACCTTAACCAGCCACAGGGGACTCATAACCCCCCTTAACCAGCCACAGCGGACTCATAACCCCCCTTAACCAGCCACAGGGGACTCATAACCCCCCTTAACCAGCCACAGGGCACTCATAACCCCCCTTAACCAGCCACAGGGGACTCATAACCCCCCTTAACCAGCCACAGGGGACTCATAACCCCCCTTAACCAGCCACAGCGGACTCATAACCCCCCTTAACCAGCCACAGGGCACTCATAACCCCCCTTAACCACCCACAGGGGACTCATAACCTCCCACAGGGCACTCACAACCCTCCTAAACCATCCACAGGGTACTCAAACCACCCCCCCCCCAACCACCCACAGGGGACTCACAACCCCCATAACCAGCCACAGAGGACTCAAAACCCCCCCTAACCACCCACAGGGTACTCAAACCCCCCCCCAACCAACCACCGGGGACTCACAACCCCCTTTAACCACCCACAGGGACTCACAACCTCCCTAACCAGCCACAGGGGACTCACAACCCCCTAACCAGCCACAAGGGACTCACAACCCCCTTTAACCACCCACAGGGAACTCACAACCCCCCTAACTAGCCACAGGGGACTCACAACCCCCTTTAACCACCCACAGGGGACTCACAACCCCCTAACCAGCCACAGGGGACTCACAACCCCCTTTAACCAGCCCCAGGGGACTCACAACCCCCCTAACCAGCCACAGGGGACTCACAACCCCCTTTAACCAGCCCCAGGGGACTCACAACCCCCCTAACCAGACACAGGGGACTCACAACCCCCTTTAACCAGCCCAGGGGACTCACAACTCCCCTTAACAAGCCACAGGGGACTCACAACCCCCCTAACCAGCCCCAGGGGACTCACAACCCCCTAACCAGCCCCAGGGGACTCACAACCCCCCTAACCAGCCACAGGGGACTCACAACCCCCCTAACCAGCCACAGGGGACTCACAACCCCCCTAACCAGCCACAGGGGACTCACAACCCCCTAACCAGCTACAGGGGACTCACAACCCCCCTAACCAGCCCCAGGGGACTCACAACCCCCCTAACCAGCCCCAGGGGACTCACAACCCCCTTTAACCAGCCCCAGGGGACTCACAATCCCCCTAACCAGCCACAGGGGACTCACAACCCCCTTTAACCAGCCACAGGGGACTCACAACCCCTCTAACCAGCCACAGGGGACTCACAACCCCCCTAACCAGCCCCAGGGGACTCACAACCCCCTTTAACCAGCCCCAGGGGACTCACAACCCCCCTAACCAGCCACAGGGGACTCACAACCCCTTTAACCAGCCACAGGGGACTCACAACCCCTCTAACCAGCCCCAGGGGACTCACAACCCCCCTAACCAGCCACAGGGGACTCACAACCCCCTTTAACCAGCCACAGGGGACTCAGAACCCCTCTAACCAGCCACAGGGGACTCACAACCCCCTTTAACCAGCCACAGGGGACTCACAACCCCCCTAACCAGCCACAGGGGACTCACAACCCCCCTAACCAGCCCCAGGGGACTCACAACCCCCCTAACCAGCCCCAGGGGGCTCACAACCCCCCTAACCAGCCACTGGTGTGTTAACCGCCACTAACCTGTCTCGTCCCTCCACAGGGGAGGTGGGGAAGGAGATGTACATCGTCAACAGAGGGAAGCTGCACGTGGTGGCTGACAACGGCAAGACTATGCTGGCAACACTGAAGGCTGGCTCATACTTCGGCGAGATCTCCATCCTTAATATGGGCACTGCTGGTGAGGCTGGCTCTCTCTCTCTCTCTGGCTCTCTCTCTGGCTCTCTGGCTCTCTCTCTCTCTCTGGCTCTCTCTCTGGCTCTCTCTCTCTCTCTCTCTCACTCTCTCTCTCTCTCTCTCTCTCTCTCTCTCTCTCTCTCTCTCTCTCTCTCTGGCTCTCTCTCTCTCTCTCTCTCTCTCTCTCTCTCTCTCTCTCTCTCTCTCTCTCTCTCTCTCTCTCTCTCTCTCTCTCTCTCTCTCTCTCTCTCTGGCTCTCTCTCTCTCTCTCTCTGGCTCTCTCTCTCTCTCTCTCTCTCACTCTCACTCTCTCTCTCTCACTCTCTCTCTCAATCAATCAAAATGAACATTGAAAATGAACGAATTACCTGGCATACATTTTTTATTGTTACATAAAATATCCTGATCTGGGCCACACTCACCGTGGCCACACCCATCGTGGCCACACCCACCATGGCCACACCCACCGTGGCCACACCCACCATGGCCACACCCACCGTGGCCACACTCACCGAGGCCACACCCACCGTGGCCACACCCACCGTGGCCACACCCACCGTGGCCACACCCACCGTGGCCAAACCCACCGTGGCCACACCCACCGTGGCCACACCCACCATGGCCACACCCACCATGGCCACACCCACTATGGCCACACCCACCATGGCCACACCCACCATGGCCACACCCAATATGGCCACACCCACTATGCCACACCCACCATGGCCACACCCACCATGGCCACACCCACCGTGGCCAAACCCACCGTGGCCACACCCACCGTGGCCACACCCACCGTGGCCACACCCACCATGGCCACACTCACCATGGCCACACCCACCATGGCCACACCCACAATGGCCACACCCACCGTGGCCACACCCACCATGACCACACCCACCATGGCCACACCCACCATGGCCACACCCACCGTGGCCACACCCACCGTGGCCACACTCACCATGGCCACACCCACCATGGCCAAACCCACCGTGGCCACACCCACCGTGGCCACACCAACCATGGCCACACCCACCGTGGCCACACCCACCATGGCCACACTCACCATGGCCACACCCACCATGGCCAAACCCACCGTGGCCACACCCACCGTGGCCACACCCACCGTGGCCAAACCCACCGTGGCCACACCCACCGCGGCCTCACCCACCGTGCCACACCCACCATGGCCACACCCACCATGGCCACACTCACCATGGCCACACGCATTATGGCCACACTCACCATAGGCACACCCACTATGCCACACCCACTATGGCCACACCCACTATGCCACACCCACTATGGCCACACCCACCATGGCCACACCCACCATGGCCACACCCACTATGGCCACACCCACCATGGCCACACCCACCATGGCCACACCCACCATGGCCACACCCACCGTGGCCACACCCACCATGGCCACACCCACCATGGCCACACCCACCATGGCCACACCCACTATGCCACACCCACCATGGCCACACCCACCATGGCCACACCCACCATGGCCACACCCATTATGGCCACACTCACCATAGGCACACCCACTATGCCACACCCACTATGGCCACACCCACCATGGCCACACCCACCATGGCCACACCCACCGTGGCCACACCCACCATGGCCACACCCGCCGTGGCCACACCCACCATAGCCACACCCGCCGTGGCCACACCCACCATGGCCACACCCACCATGGCCACACCCACCATGGCCACACCCACCATGGCCACACCCACCATGGCCACACCCACCATGGCCACACCCACCATGGCCAAACCCACCGTGGCCACACCCACCGTGGCCACACCCACCGTGGCCACACCCACCATGGCCACACCCACCATGGCCACACCCACTATGGCCACACCCACCATGGCCACACCCACCATGGCCACACCCACTATGGCCACACCCACCATGGCCACACCCACCATGGCCACACCCACCGTGGCCACACCCACCATGGCCACACCCACCATGGCCACACCCACTATGGCCACACCCACCATGGCCACACCCACCATGGCCACACCCACCATGGCCACACCCACTATGGCCACACCCACCATGGCCACACCCACCATGGCCACACCATCATGGCCACACCCACCGTGGCCACACCCACCATGGCCAAACCCACCGTGGCCACACCCACCGTGGCCACACCCACCTTGGCCACACCCACCATGGCCACACCCACCATGGCCACACCCACTATGGCCACACCCACCATGGCCACACCCACCGTGGCCACACCCACCGTGGCCACACCCACCATGGCCACACCCACCGTGGCCACACCCACCGTGGCCTCACCCACCGTGGCCACACCCACCGTGGCTACACCCACCATGGCCACACCCACTATGCCACACCCACTATGGCCACACCCACCATGGCCACACCCGCCGTGGCCACACCCACCGTGGCCACACCCGCACCACTAACAAGGGGCGTGCTGTACACAGGTAACAGGCGGACGGCGTCGGTGCGGTCAGTGGGCTACAGTGACCTCTTCGTGCTCTCCAAGAAGGACATGTGGGACGTGCTGAAGGAGTACCCCGCCGCCCGGGTCAGACTCGAGGCCATCGCCGCCAAGAGGCTGGAGAAGTACAAGAAGGCGCCGCTGGAGAAAGGTTGGTGGTGGCGGGCAGTGAGTCAGTCTCATCCACACCATTTGCTTCTCCTGTCTTACTAATTTTGTTATTCGATTTCCTATTTATTTATTTTTTTAACAAAGACCAACTTGAGGGGCAGCGAGCATAACATGTTGTCTTCCTTGCCGCTTTCACTTTCTTCATGGTCGCGTCTTTTCATGGTCGCGTCTTCACTTTCCGCATGGTCGGGGAATTAACTTTGTCATCCTATGCTGGACGCGTTCTAGTGAATTAATATCCATTCTATAGTACGGCGACCAAAACTGAACTGCATAATCTAAATGGGGCCTAACTAGAGCAAGATATAACTGAAGAACAACATCAGGTGTTTTATTAGTAACGCTTCGATTAATACATCCCAGTGTCCTATTTGCCTTATTATGAACATTAATGCATTGATATTTAGGTTTTTAAATTCTTTCTAATCATTACTCCTAGATCCCTTTCGCAATCCGACTTCGCAATCTCAACACCATCTAGCTCATATCTTGTAACTCTATCATCATTACCTAGCCTCAAAACCTTACATTTGTCAGCATTAAACTGTATCTGTATTTTTTCAAACTCCTATTTAGAGCGTCATGAAGTGATATAGAGTATTTTTCCGTGTTTATTTCCCTACTGATTTTTGTATCATCGGCAAATTTGCAAATATTGCTGCTCAAACCTCAATCAAAATCATTTATATATATTATAAACAACAGAATTCCCAGGACTGAGCCTTGAGGCACTCCACTTACAACATTTTCCCAGTCTGACTTAACCCCATTTATACTAACTCTTTGTTTCCTTTGGAATAGCCATGCCCTAATCCAACTTAATATAGCACTCCTAATACCATGAGCATCTATCTTTTTAATCAGTCTTTCATGTAGCACCGTATCAAAAGCTTTGCTAAAGTCAAGGTACACAACATCACAATCCTTACCACTATCAACTGCCTCAATTATGCTGGAATAAAATTACAGCAAATTTGTTAAATATGAACTACCATTTGTTAAACCATGTTGTGAATCATTTATTAATTTATGCTTTTCGAGATGAGGACGAATGGTATTTGCAATTGTCGACTCAAGTAACTTTTCGACAACAGACATTAAGCTAATTGACCGATAGTTTGATGCAAGTGATCTATCTCCTTTCTTAAAAATTGGAACCACATTAGCAACCTTCCACGACTCTGGCACTCTGCCTGACTCTAATGATTTATTAAAGATGGTAGACAATGGCTCGCAAAGTTCCTCTTTAGAATTTCTTTGGCCATTAAAATCAGCTTTCGAAAATCTGGCACTCTAATAGAATTTTCCCCTACAAATCTATTCCATTCCATTCTAAACTAAATATGATTTCTTTGTAATCACTGTTCCCTATTTCATTCCCTATTTCGACGTTATTAATTCGTGTTTCCCTGTTAGTTAATATTAACTCTAAAATATTATTTTCCTGCGTTGGTTCCTTAATGTGTTCCGTAAGAAAGCAATCATCAATTAATTCTAGAAAATTTCTGCTTCATTATTCCCTATTCTGTTAAACTAATTTATTCCACTAAAATTAAAAGTAACCCATGGCACAAATACTGCTTGACCTAGATGCTCTAGATATGTCACCCCACAGGTGCTTTTCTTCCATTCTGTCTACCTTGAGGTTACCTTGTGGTGTTTCCGGGGCTCAGCGTTCCCGCGGCCCGGTCGTCGACCAGGCCTCCTGGTTGCTGGACTGGTCAACCAGGCTGTTGGACGTGGCTGCTCGCAGCCTGACGTACGAATCACAGCCTGGTTACTCAGGTATCCTTTGGAGGTGCTTATTCAGTTCTCTCTTGAACACTGTGAGGGGTCGGCCAGTTGTTTGGTGACCTGAATATAACTCCTATTATAAGATTATTTGATTTTTCGCTTAATTCTAGCCAAATAGTTTCTGTGTGGCTTAGTTTTGATTCCCTCTTTGAGAATATATTTCAAATTTTTCCTAACATATATGGCTACTCCCCCTCTGTGGGAACCGACCTGTGAGATTTATATTTGTTTAATTTATATGAATTTATATTTACGTTAATTTATATACTTCGATAGCAATTTGTATAATGATAAGTGGACTGTATTTCTGCAATAATCTCTTAATCTCACAAATCGATCCTCTACACATTAGGGGGGGGTTATTAAATTATATATATGCAGCCAATCAAACTACAGTATTAACTACACATTATTAAACATTGAAGAGGTTCCTTATCTTATAGTACAGCAGGCTAGTCCACCAGGTATAACTAGGGTGTAGACACCAAATTATCCTCTTTGAGGTAGCTTCCATATCACCCAGTAACTGGTGCACAAATCTTGCTTCCTCGTCTTGACCTGTCAAAAGTGCGCTAGCTCTGAAGCCAGAATCCTATATATGACAAGTATTTCAGAGAAAACACTATACAGTACATGGAACAATAAAGACCTGGCTTAATTACCTTTAGTATGAGGCGATTTCGCGTTCTAACCGGCTCACCCTATATAATGACATTAATGGCCACTAATGATAGATAATGGGTTTCGGAAAGAACACTTAACTTGATATGTAGACAGCGTGTTGAAAAATGGTACACCTTTGGTTTCCATAACACTACGTCCAAGTAAATTTAACAGGAGCCGAATTTGCTCCCGTGTGAGCCTCTGGTCTCAATATAAACAATGGCTGCCCTCCTTCCCCACTCTGACGCCTGGCTTACATTGTCCACATGTCAGAAAGTGATAGAAGGGTCACATTTACTCTACTTTAATATTGATAATTAAGTTAATTTATATAAGATGTTTTTATGATGGTAAAGTCCAAAGACTAATGTATTTAAGAATAATTCCCAGCAGAATAGCTGGTGAATTATAATAGTATGTGGTGATGATATCCCGTTTTCTATAGACGGTAATTCCACTACAAGTTACGTTTTCTATGGGTAACTTGTTTATACAACACAGCTATTATCTGTATGATATATTAAATGGTGTCGGATTTTCCGACACCCTCCTCGTCTAATATATCTATCTGTGTGAAATAGTTTAAATCCATTTATTTGATATTCAGTTAACAGTTCTCTAATCTCTACATTCATTCACGTTTCGGTAAGTGCAATAATGTCTATTTTTTTCTGTGCAGACAAGAACATTTAAATCGTTAATTTTGTTTCTTAGACTCCTACTGTTCGTGTAATATACCCTAAGTGTATTGGTATTTTGAGGCCCTTCTCTTTCCCTGATCTTATTGCCAAATTGTTTCTCCCCCACAAACACATACTTTTATTACCTGTGATTCCACTGAATCCTGAAGGGTTCCTGAGGCCTCTGATACCATGCATCAGTGTCCGTGGCACTACCCGCGTGTGCTGGGTGTGGTGTAGCAGCTCTCACCATCAACGCTTCTCATCACGGGCACACAGGGTGACACGGGCACACAGGGTGACACGGGCACACAGGGTGACACGGGCACACAGGGTGACACGGACACACAGGGTGACACGGGCACACAGAGTGACACGGGCACACAGGGGGACACGGGCACACAGGGTGACACGGACACACAGGGGGACACGGGCACACAGGGTGACACGGGCACACAGGGGGACACGGGCACACAGGTTGACACGGGCACACAGGGTGACACGGGCACACAGGGTGACACGGGCACACAGGGTGACACGGGCACACAGGGGGACACGGACACACAGGGTGACACGGGCACACAGGGTGACACGGACACACAGGGGGACACGGGCACACAGGGTGACACGGGCACACAGGGTGACACGGGCACACAGGGGGACACGGACACACAGGGTGACACGGGCACACAGGGTGACACGGACACACAGGGTGACACGGGCACACAGGGGGACACGGACACACAGAGGGACACGGACACACAGGGTGACACGGGCACACAGGGGGACACGGACACACAGGGGGACACGGGCACACAGGGTGACACGGGCACACAGGGTGTCACGGGCACACAGGGGGACACGGGCACACAGGGGGAGACGGACACACAGGGTGACACGGGCACACAGGGGGACACGGGCACACAGGGGGACACGGGCACACAGGGGGACACGGACACACAGGGTGACACGGGCACACAGGGGGACACGGACACACAGGGGGACACGGGCACACAGGGTGACACGGGCACACAGGGGGACACGGGCACACAGGGTGACTCGGGCACACAGGGTGACACGGGCACACAGGGTGACACGGGCACACAGGGTGACACGGACACACAGGGTGACACGGACACACAGGGTGACACGGACACACAGGGGGACACGGACACACAGGGGGACACGGGCACACAGGGTGACTCGGGCACACAGGGTGACACGGGCACACAGGGTGACACGGGCACACAGGGTGACACGGACCCACAGGGTGACACGGACACACAGGGTGACACGGACACACAGGGGGACACGGACACACAGGGGGACACGGGCACACAGGGGGACACGGGCACACAGGGGGACACGGGCACACAGGGGGACACGGGCACACAGGGTGACACGGGCACACAGGGGGACTCGGGCACACAGGGGGACACGGACACACAGGGTGACTCGGGCACACAGGGTGACACGGGCACACAGGGGGACACGGGCACACAGGGGACACGGACACACAGGGGGACACGGGCACACAGGGTGACACGGGCACACAGGGGGACACCGGGCACACAGGGGGACACGGGCACACAGGGGGACACGGACACACAGGGTGACACGGGCACACAGGGGGACTCGGGCACCACAGGGTGACACGGACACACAGGGGGACACGGGCACACAGGGTGACACGGGCACACAGGGGGACACGGGCACACAGGGGGACACGGGCACACAGGGGGACACGGACACACAGGGTGACACGGGCACACAGGGGGACACGGGCACACAGGGTGACACGGGCACACAGGGGGACACGGGCACACAGGGGGACACGGGCACA